CAAAACCCCAAAACCCCAAAACCCCAAAACCCCAAAACCCCAAAACCCCGTTAGGCTTTGATCGAATAAGGACTTGAATGATGAATAATCTATAAACCTAATTTATATACTAGACTCTTGATATATTATCATTTGAATAAATATTTTCTTACCTCTGACTTCATATAGCTCAAGAACATATCGAATGGAAAACTCAGTCAACTTCAGTATTAAAAATGAAATGCAAAATAATAACAATGAAGACTCAATAAACATTGAAAATTTTCTTCTTAACAAGGAATAATTATTGAAAATTAATTCAAGGCCCAGCCGCTTTGATAGCTCTTGCATTTCTCATTTTTTCAACGATGATGCTGATGGGAATGCGGACAATAAAAAATAATCATATCAAATCCCACTTGCCCCAGGTTAATAGTTGCATTAAACAGAATAAGCTAGCCGTGAATGCATCGAAAATACCAACTTCGAGTAGAATTTTGAAAAATTTTTAATGGATCTTGAAGACCAAGAAAATTATAATGAAATTGATGATGTCTCTGACAGCGAGGAGCCAACAAAGGATTTTTCATTCAGCAACTAAGTAGCTAATGGATTCACCTTAATGAAATGTCAAAAAATATTTGCATAGGAATAAAGTGACTAGATTACGGGAGTGTTGAATGCATCAGCGGATTTGGATTAGACTACGGGTAAAAGAAAAATTAGCAAGAGTGCTATTCCAAAATAATAACTTTAGATTCTAAGAAAATTATTTGAAATAAACCCGAAATGGAGCAAGACAGATATGGTATAAATTTCCCAGGAAACAGGGTTATCGTTCAAGAAAGTTTACAAATGGCAATGGGATCGCACAAACTAGAAAGACCTATCCTTCCTAAAGTCAATGCGACTGAAAGAGAACTATTGGGGTTGCATCTTTGCAACTCACACAGCACCCTTAGAAGCCAAAAAAATATTTAAGATTGAAAAATTGAATAGATAAATTTTGCAGTGATTTGATTTTACTACTCATGAATAATATATGGAAATATACATAATTATATATCTTTAATTTTAAGGTAAACTTTACTCTACTATTTGGTACTGGAGCTCCACTTTCTAGTCATGGGGTTTTGGGGTTTTGGGG